CATTGTCTAAAACCGTTATTCTTAAAAATAATTTATATTTGTTACGTATAAAGAGTATTTTTGTGATACCTATAATTAAAAATCTAAACTAAGTCGTGTGATAAAATGAGAAAAAACGGTGATATATTGAATGCTTATTTGTGATAACTCAGCGTTAAATTGTATTAAATGTATTGAAATGTAATACATATACTGTAAGCATCTAATAAGAATATATAGAATTTTGAATTTTTACAATGGCTTTCATGCCAAATATTTTTCGTATTTTTTTTAAATATTTTTCGTAAATTTTTTTATTTAAGGATGGCTCATAAGTATTATAACATAAACATATAAACTCACGTTTCTAACTGCGTTGGAAATTTAGTAGTATTTTAATTAATTATGAAAAAGTTTGAAATTTGAAGACAGTTTTAGAGTTCTATCAAGTTTGCAGCACAGTTAGGAATTTGAATTAAAATGGTTCATGGAATATGAGACATACTTAACGAAAAATAATTAAAATGCAAAACATTGGAAATTAAAAAAAAAATANAAAAACGGTGATATATTGAATGCTTATTTGTGATAACTCAGCGTTAAATTGTATTAAATGTATTGAAATGTAATACATATACTGTAAGCATCTAATAAGAATATATAGAATTTTGAATTTTTACAATGGCTTTCATGCCAAATATTTTTCGTATTTTTTTTAAATATTTTTCGTAAATTTTTTTATTTAAGGATGGCTCATAAGTATTATAACATAAACATATAAACTCACGTTTCTAACTGCGTTGGAAATTTAGTAGTATTTTAATTAATTATGNGTATTATAACATAAACATATAAATTCACGTTTCTAACTGTGTTGGAAATTTAGTAGAATTCGGGAAGCTGTTAAAAAACGTCAACATTTTCAAACCGGAGTGGTAAGTATGCATTCCTATAGCCCACGCTTTTGAAGGTATTCTCCTATTTAAATATTTTCGTTCAAGATGCAAGGTTACTCTTTACTACACTAAAATTTGATGGGCTACAAAACTGAATACCTGAAATATCTATAAAAAAAAACTCTGATTAAAAAGTTGAAATTTGAAGACAGTTTTAGAGTTCTATCAAGTTTGCAGCACAGTTAGGAATTTGAATTAAAATTGTTCATGGAATATGAGACATACTTAACGAAAAATAATTAAAATGCAAAACATTGGAAATTAAAAAAAAAATACTGCATAACTACACACTTTTGTTTATCTTTTTTTAAATCTGATTAAAAAGTCCAAAATTTTGATGACAAATCGTTAAATTTTCCTTTGTTTTGCATAAAGTTTGAAAACACGGTTTATATGATTTTGTTTTAAACATGATCAATTTTTTTTATAAAATAATAAACAAATTTTAACTCTCAATATATTGTGAATATTTAAAAAAGAAATGGTGTACGCAGACTTTTGCTGTTAAGTGTAATTTAACTAAATTTTATGATTATATTTTGCTATTAGTTTTATGGTCTAAGAAAATCCAATGAATATAGTATAGTTACGGTGACCATAAATATATTTTGAAAATGCAATGTACCTACATATAATTGCGTTGTATAAAAATAACAAAAATATACTACATATATACATTCCTCGCCATTTGAATAGCAGCGTACCCTTTTTTGATTTTTTACCATACAAAGTATGCTTGACAAAATTTTTATATGGAAGAAAATGCGCAGCACCGTCAACAAAAAAAATTGTCGCCCCTATATTTTTTTTTTTTCATTTTCAAAAATTTTTAAAATGGGATGTAGAGGTAGAATATGCTATATTTTTATAAAAAGTTAATGTATATTAAACAAACAAAACGAAAACTGTACCTACTAAGTATTAAAAGGATGCGCTATTTAAATAACGAAGATGGTATATTTCTTAATTATTAATCCAATTTTAAACTTTAAACATAAATCACATTTGCTTCATTGGTATTAATCTTTTATAAATGAATATTTACATAATTATAACAAGGCATATTACATATTACTTTACACGAAATATGAACCTCTGTAAAGCAAATTTTTTTAGGCAAACTTTGGGTCGTTGAACACGAAAAAATACCCATGGTTTCAAAGAAGTGTTTTCGAGATTTGTTCGAAAAACGTATTTTTAGTACTTTTTCAGTTATTCCTCAATATCTCATGAAACGACCAACAGTTCGAAAGGTATTGATGGGCTCTTTGCAAAAATATATATTTTTTGTGTAGACTGTGTTCCGTAACATCTACATTTCTCATCAGAGTTTCATTTACTGTAAAAAGAAAATGATTGAAATTTCAATTTTTCGCTTGTAACACTAATAATTTTCATGGAAATCGGCAAAGTAATATATTTTTGTAGGTCGCTTATGTCGATTGGATAATTTTTTCATGAGACATTGACGAATAGGCCCGAAATGTACCAAAAACACTTTTTTCGAAAAAATTACGAAAACGCTTGTTTGAAAAGAAAATCGGCTTGGAAAATATTTTTTTTTCTTAAGCGATTACCTCAAAATTTGTAGAACAGTGTTATCAATATATTTGATGCTGGTCTTCAATTTCTCGTCACCCATTGTCCATATCCGTACAATATTAAGAACGCATTGACTAGTTGAACCTTCAAAACCAACTTACACTGCTTTTATTTCGATTAGGAAAAGTTAATTTTAAAATATCGAAGAAAATGCGGGACAGAGGCAGGACACTTGGAAAAAATCAGAACATTTTGGGGGTTTTCTGTTTTGAAAAGCTACGCAGGACAGACCTTTAAATAACAGTACGGTCCTGCAAAAAACAGAACGGATGGTCACCGTAAGTACAGTACATTTGTGCATCTTTTGTCAGCTTTCGCATGACCAGGATGAGTAACATTGATGACAGCGCAATTAGCAACATATGAGTTTCAACCGTCCAGCTCTGCATCCCTTTTGCAGTAGTTCAGAGACAGTTCTGAAATTTATAGGGCGGAACTAGCGCTTTGCCGACTGTCTCTAAATTTTGCTGCAGGGCAAAAACGGCACTCACGTACACAACACATACACAAAAATCGTACTAGACTGTCTCGCTTTGATTTCGGAATGCATACACATTGGGAAATTAGCTTACTGCCAATATAGAAGTATTACATACATATATAGTAGCAGATATATTATATGCAAAATTTGTATATTTACTTCAAATTTCTCTATGGATTGTATATTTTATTATGAGTCAAGTTTTCTCAAGTGGGCCACCCAAAATTTACTTTTCGATTTTTTATATTTCATTTACCGATTTGAAGGTTAACATGGTGTGCAATATTGGCACCAAAGATTTTGCACTAATTTAATTTTTTGGCGAGTTATTTGCAAGCAATTTTTTATGCAGGCTTTTACACTTTTTGAAATATTTCAGCAATCATTCATTCGACTGATTTTTTTACAGCAATTAGAGAACTTATTGGGCAACAAAATAAAGTGGTCAGTTTGTAAAATTTCGATTCCTGTTTTATAAAAAAAACTTTTTTTTTAATCAATTTAATTTTTTTACCATCTTCTCATATACCTAGGAATAGAATTCAAAACCCATTATTTGTGCTAAACATTCGATTTTACTTTCATAAAAAATAATACTGTACCTTTGATTGACTTAAAGCAGTTTACCAAAAAAATGAACCAAGTTTAAAAAAATATAATACAAATAAACTGAAAAGCAAAAATATAATTTTCAAACTTAAGTATTAAATCAAGAATTATCAAATTATTATTTTTTTTTTTTGCTTTTCAAAATTTGCTGTGAAAAAATTGTGATTTTTGTGCTGATATAAGTGAATTTCAGTGCATTTAAAGTTTCTGGGGCGTCGTTTACTTGTATACCAGAATTGCCAAAATCGAGAAAACCAAAGTAGCGGTATGTCTGACGGCGCCACCTTTGTTCGCTGCATCGTGAATATGAAGTATTTCAAAACTGTTTTTTTTTCTAATTCCGTGCAATGCAGAAATACAATATGGGTACCAAACGAAAAAGAAAAATTTTGAAACTTAAAAATACTTTTCTTTCGGTTCACAAGGACGAATAGGTATTGCAAATACTCTTCTAATAAATTTTTTTACTCTCAACTAATAAAGTTAGAAAGACGACATTCGAGAATGTGGTTCTGTATTTATTAGTCCTTAACGTATAATTTTTGCCATATTAAATATTGGAAATTTTCAAGGATATTCAAGGATAAAAATTTGAAAGGACATTTTGTATACCTTTACTGTAATGAAATAGGGGGTATAGTGAAAAAACACTACAGTTGTGAATTTTTATAAAAAGCCTAAAGCAGTAACTAATTTTTTGTCATGGGTCGGACATAAGGAACCGTAATTATTTCATTCTATCATTGAATTGAAATGCTTAATTTTCTTCAATGCAATACTAATGCTTTGGGAGGATGGAAGATCGAATCATTTGCTAACCCCTTCGAAACAAAAAAAAATTTATAAAATCATGATTTTGCTTAGTCTTCTATATTAAAATATGTGTACATACATAGTACTCGTATTTAATTAGTTGTATAATTTTTAACTTTGCTGAGGTATCTAGAGTGTAATAAAATCATATATCAAAATGTTTTCTTCGAAAAAAACGTTGATTTGGGGTATTAAGAACTAATTCATCAACGGCCGTTTTCTGAAGTAACATTTAACTTTAAAACTCACTTTATATTTAAAGGTTGGATTAAAAATAAAGCTATGTATAAAGTTAAGTCCGAGTGTATTTCTGCCATGAAAAACAGCTTCTCATAAAAATACAATCGCCGTTCGGAGTCGGAGTAAAACTGTACGTCCCTCCGCTTTGTGTGACAACATCAAGGCGCACGCCACAAACCGGAGGAGAAGCTCGGCCAAACACTAATATATGTGTAAGCGCCAATCTATTATTATTATTATATTATAAAGTTAAGCATTCCTATGATCGGTTTTTGATGTACGTATGTTTCTTGGTTGTAAACTAATTTAAAACCGATAATAAAATGCTTTACTTTAGGCACAAGCATTAATTTTAATGCAGTCTTTAAATATGAAGTGAGCTTTAAAGTTACAGCTTACTTGAGAAGACGGCCCTAAGCCTTGCATGTTTCACAAGCAAGTTTATAATTGTACACACTGATTCACTTACTCATGGAATACCCCATATGCAGGTAGCAAACTAAAGCAAAAGCTCACAATTCGGTCTAGTTACGAGTATTTTCCAGTTTATTCTTAGTTAGTTTCGTAAGGATTTTATCTTAATTATATGTATGTACTTAAAAGTTGTAGTATTGATCCTTCGGATGTACATATGTACGATTTGTTTTTATCTTTTATAAAATTGCTGTCTTTCGTTTAGTGGCTTAAATGTATCCACCCCGAAATTATTGCATATTTTATTTAACTATGTATATGGAATATTTTTGGTAATTTGTAGAAAATTTTATCATAGCAATAAGGTTGTGCTTAACATAATGCGAAATGGCTCTGGCCCATGCAAACATTCGTTCGATAAGTTCCAACGTCGATCACCCTAAATGCATTATCTTTTTGAATGCTTTGCGAAATTCCTGATTGAAGATCGTATAGATGATTGGGTTGACGAAACTATTGATGTAGCCCAACCAGGTGGTGAGTATGAAGGCGGTCACGCCTGGTCGCCAGTCTATTTCCATGATCGCACAGATCGCATCCGTCACATTGCAAGTGAAGAATGGTAGCCAGCATATGAGGAATACGCCTGTGTAAGAACATAATTTATTGCATTTCAAAAGTCATAGTTTATGCAATCAATTATAAATATAATTAGTACTCCTGCATATAATTAGGTTTTTTCAACCAATGATTTTATTTTAAAATATGCCCCGTAGCGAATGTCATGCATTAGTCACTTAAGTATCTTGTACGGCCATTTTATGTCTTAAATGACTTTCGGCTCCATTTATATGGAAGTCGTTCACGACTTTTTCATAGAAATTGTAATTTGGTCGTTGATGGCCTCTGCATGACTTTGTCATGCAGTGATCATTGATGACATTCAAGCGACAGTATCCTGTAATGGACGTTTTATAAATGACCGCTGCAAGACATTGTCTGTTATAGGTGTACACCGGCTTGACATAGTCACCAGTGTCATTGTCAGCTAAATGTTGGCATTTTTTTTTTTGTAATTTTTTACTCAAATCAAAAAACTTCATAATTCCGCACTCAAAAGGGTTAATATAAAAGTCAATTGCCAAATATGTGTACCGAAATAGAATGTCATTGTTAGCTGGCACACTTTATATTAGTGGGATTCATGAAACGTCGCAAAGTTGTTTCACATGTCGCATTTGACGCAAAATTTGCCACCTTGCAACGCAGCTGATTACTATTGTATGGGAACTTTCTTGCGACAAAATTGCGACATTGCCATAGTATTTGAGCTGGCAATCATTGCAAAGTCGAAGTCGCGAAACAAATGTTTTTTATTGTCTTCAAATACTTCATGAAAAAGTATCAGTTAAAGCTGCTTCGAAATATAATTGTAAAAACTTTTCTTTTTCTCTAACGCGCGGCATTTTTAAAAAATTTTACATTTGCAATCCGGAGTTGCGATAGGTCGTTCATACAACTTTGTTCCCAACATTTCCATTTCGCTAAAAATGCTACTTGGCGACGTTTTATGAATCTCACTTATATTTCATTATGCTTATAAACATTTAACAATTGTCGCCACTTCCGTACCTTCCGAAAATTTTCTTCGAAGGCTTTTCAAAAGAACAGAGAAAGCTCTTAAATTAATTAATACATTTCACTGTGAGTTATACACTTATCGAAGTTACGATTGTTGCATTTTCTTGTTGTATATTTTTAATTGAAATAAACTGAAATGTCTGAAATTCATTAATTGCTAATTGGTCGCTACCAGTGCGTCAATTCACTTAAATCAGCTAACCATTTCCCTAATACAAATTAACGCGGAAATTTTTCTTCGCATTTATAAAGTCGACAATGCCAGCGTGCTGTAAGACTTTCAAATAGAGTCAAACCCCCCCTAAAGCTAATAACCTCAAATACAAACTGTATCTTAAAGCTTAGAATCCAGCTCTCAAGAAAAATCACAAGAAATACTTTTTATTGTTGAAGAAATATTTGAATATGCGAGCCAAGGCGAATTTATATAAGGTGGGGTTACTAGATCAGCTGATTTTGTGTTGTGTTTCGCCGTACGGCTTCTAATGTCAAAATTATTTTTTTTTTTTTTAATTTTCACACACACACTTAAAGATTTCCATAGTTTATGCCGCCAAAGCAAAAACATGCAAATTTTTGTTTTTGTACTCCTGCTATCACCTTATATTAATTCGCCTTGATACGAGCATTTTTTTCTTGATAGCTACAAACTGATTTCAGAAATTTTGATAGGAGAAAATTTCTTTTCCATTTCTTGTGTAAAACTTGCATAAATGTACTTTAACAAGCAAATTATCTGAAGCAAATTTTCTGAAGTATAAACCTCTCGCAAAATATATTCCAGGGTGCGCCCCTGCATTTAGTTGAAAAGTTTGTTTGCCCATCTCGACGGCAACCTCCTTTAGTTCTACTTACCCAGAACGATTGCGAGCGTTTTGGTGGCTTTACGTTCTTTCTTCGCGGACGACTTTTCGCGCTTCTTTTTCGAAGCTTTGTGGACTTTGTAAATCGTGAATCTGCTTCAAGCCAATTTGCATGCCACAATGTAGTTGATACATAGATAGAAAATGCAGCACGTGGAAGCAGCCCAGCGATACCAGATGGCAGTGGTTAGCAACAGTCGCAGCGATAACCACAAATTTAATGGAATAGACAAAAAAGACAAAGAATATTTAGAATTTAAAGTTAAAATATAACTCTTCTGTGAATAATGGCCCGAGCCGAGGAAGTGTGAGTGGAAATATGGAAGCGTTAGAGTGGAAATTTATGCAACAAGGTGTTAACTACGCTTCGGTGCTTACTAACTTTTAATTATGGAGTACTTGGAAGCCGATGGCTACGCCAACACCGCCGCGCTAGTCGTTAAAGAGCTCGCGAGGTATGATGGAATAGTCACCTGTAACTGGCTTAACTGTCTTCTACTTACCTTGACGCTTGCGAGTTTTTCTTGTCTTTCCGAGAAGATGTCTTCGATGTAGCCGAGAGGGTGGAGTCATTGCGTGCCAGCGTCATCGCCTCTTGAACGCCATAGCGGACATAGGACAGCGGTTTCATGGCAACACTGTGGGCGCCAAGTTGTCATCAGTTACGTATACATGTTTACATACGTATACGGGCGAAAGCAGGGAAAATATCACGGGTAAGTTGGAAGAAAAATGCAAAATAGAAACTTAATCGCTAATAAATTTTAAGTGTCAACGCAACTTGGTGAACATTTAATGTAGGTATGGTTTTTTGTATGAATAACCTATAAAGACCACAGGACGGAAATACTGGGCAGAACTTGCTGGAGAAGCATTAGGACGTGGAATGAGCGTGAGGTATGTCTATATATATCTATGTATATGTATTGTATGTGTCCTTAGGGTGTCCGTCTGCAATGACCAATGTATATTTTTATTGAAAATTGAACGCTCTACAAAAAAAGTTTTATTTGATTTTTTCGATAAAAACACTACTCCCCAAAGTTATTAAAGAAAAAAGCCAACTTAGGAAATAAAGGACACCCTAATATGTCCTATAGGTATGGTTATGTGCTTAAGGGTGTGCTATACCTGAGTGCGGGCTCCCGTTTGGTGGGTGAATCACCAGTTGCGGTATTGCGCCGGCTGCTGCTCACGCTTGACCGCTTCAACGTCCCACTAGGCTCCGGGCTATCCGGCGGCGATGAATCAGCGGCTGCGCCTGCAAGGACATCGTCAACGTTTGAGGGTGCATAACCAGAATCATGATTACCATTTGGATCGGCCACCGCAAGTTGCGGAGGGCTGCTTATCTGAGCTACAACACTGTGTGACGGCAGCAGATGCGTTGAGAAACAACGATGCGAATTCGATTGAATTTGTTTTTTGATGCGGATTTTAAATTTATGTCGACGATGCGGACGTGGCGACAACGCGTGTTCGTGGTATTTACAGTTCAAAAGTGGCAACAAAAAGGGGAAAAGAAGAAAAATGGAAAAATGTGCGGATTAATTAAAAATTGGCATTGTTGGTTAATTGCATAGCGTATATGTATGTTTGTTTGTTTGTGCTTGTAAACGCATACTCATAAGACAATCAGAATTACTTTTGCGGTTTCGTAAATGTGTGTGTATGTACCAGGGTTGTTGCGATTATTCGCATTCGCAACCGCTTAGCTTCCGCATTAATTTTAACATTCGCATTCGCAAATATCAATGCGGATCTTTTGCGAACACGAATATTGTGCAATTGTACTGATAAAACGTATATCTGGCACACAAAATGATAAATTTAGCCAATATTTTTTGCCTGTGGAGATGCTACGTTAAAACTGCCTCCTTCTTTTGTAAAGTCAGAGAGTAAGATCCTTCAATAGGTAATTCCAGCGGAAATTTTCAATGTCTAGCTATAAAGAGAATCGACAATTTGCGCAGTAAAAGGTAACCTTTAATTAGGTAAGAATTATGTAAATATCGAATATTATTTGTCAAACGTCTGTTGAAAAAACTGGAAGCATCGCTAATTTTTAACCGACTTCAAAAAAGGAGCAGGTTATCAGTTCTTCGGATCTGTCTGTCCGTCCGTCCGTGTACACGATAACTAAAGCAAAAATTGAGATATCTCAACAAAATTTGGTATGTAGGTTTCTGTTTATCCAAGGAAGGTTGGTATTGAAAGTTGGGCGAAATCGGACTGTAACCACGCCCACTTCCCATTTAACGATAATTTTCAAAAATACGAAAACTGCGATATTTTAATAGCTACTGAAGATTATTCACTCAAAATTGATATTTACAATAAATTTTAGACGAAAAATAAGAATATTGTAAATTTTTGTAAAATGTTGCATGTGTATATCTCGCTAACCGCTGCACCAGTTTCTTGCCAACTTGGCACAGTTGTTGGCCTTGGTACAGCATACCAAATGGCCGAAAATATTTAAAATCGGACAATAACAACGCCCACATCCCATATAACGGTAATTTAGAGAAATACAAAATCTTCGATAAATCAGTAAATATTAAAGCTAAT